GGTTTCACTTATATCCGGGTCTATTTTATATACATTAACACAGGCTCTAATTTTCTCTTATATCCGGGTTTCTCTTATATCCGGGTTTGGTTTATTTTATATACATTAACACAGGCTCTAATTTGGGACCAGAGAAAATCTCACTTATATCCGGGTTTCTCTTATATCAGGGTTTCTCTTATATCCGGGTTTGTTCCATTTTGTTTATTAACACAGGCTCTAATTTGGGACCAGAGAAAATCTCTCTTATATCCGAGTTTCTCTTATATCCGGGTTACACTGTAGTATGGAACCCAGATATCTTGACTATGTCATTATTTTCTCTATAGTTTACATGTGATATCCATGCTGGTTTTCTTGAAAATCTTCAAATGATGCGTTTTATGTTATTTGTTAATTTCCAATTTTTTTGCACCCAGTCCACGAGGTTCCAAGAATGATCTACATGTTTCATTTACTCAAAGCCATTATTTCTGAATGAGTTTAGCATTGGCCTATTGTCCATATGAAAGTCTTGATCTGATGAGGTTATTTAGGTACATGACTCGAGTTCTTTGGTTGATGCTTTCAGGGGGTTTTGGGGAGTAATTAACGGTGTTGTGCGTAGCTACCTTTAGCGTTGCCAATTCTATGTCCAGTTCTCTTATCGCCTATACTAAATTTGCTATTCTTTCTTTCTTTCTTTTTTTTTATCCAATGAAGAAACCTAACATTCACCTTTTTAATCAAGGAGACTGCCAGTCTCTTACTTCGGAAAAACTCTTTTATTGTCCGAAATTCGATCTCCCCTCGAGATGTGTCAAGAGGAAAGTCGATGTCTCTTGAATGGTAAGGTTGGAAACACGGGCTTAATATGGCACTCATAGAGATTTGGACAATGAAGTGAGAGAGGACAAAAGAGCGATGACCTTTGACAGAGTGTTTTTTGTCGCTTTCTTTTTTTTTTTTTTTGTTGTTGTTGGCTAGGATGTAAAAAAAAGTGAAAAAAGATTTTCAATGTATTCGTCTGGTAGTCGTTTTGTGTTGGTGACGCCATTGATGCAAAGTTCACTGCGTTGGATTTCTATTGAATATTTCATAAAACATTCAATACCGGATGTATGATGAGCAAAAGAATCCAAAAAAAAAATGAATCTGCGCATGCGTGGATGCAAATGCGTCGTGAGTGCTTGTTAGTTGTACTGCATAGAAATGGCGCAAGAAAGTGTGATTTATTTTGACGTAACTCATTTTCTTAATATCTATCAATCACACTTTATTCAGTATCTATCTATCTATCTATCTATCTATCTATCTATCTATCTAAGGATGTTCATTATCTATGTTCATTATCTATTCCACCTCTTCATATCTATCTATCTATCTATCTATCTATCTATCTATCTATCCAACGATGTTCATTATCTATGTCCACCTCTTCATATCTATCTATCTATCTATCTATCTATCTATCTATCTATCTATCTATCTATCTATCTAAGGATGTTCATTATCTATCTATCTATCTATCTATCTATCTATCTATCTATCTATCTATCTATCTCAGGATATTCATTATCTATCTATCTATCTCTCTATCTATCTACGGATGTTCATTATCTATCTATCTCCACCTGTTCATATCTATCTATCTATCTATCTCAGGATGTTTATCTATCTATCTATCTATCTATCTATCTATCTATCTATCTATCATTTTACATCTGTTTTTTTTTTCTGTTTTGTAAAATGATAGATACAGTCTAATAGACACAGCTTATGCGGATCTGCGGGATAAGATAACTGTTGACCCTAGAATTGAGTGAACGGGGAAGCATCCTCTCGGGAGTCGGTTCCACTGAGTGATGCCTCATGGGAAGAAGCTGTAAGTTCCACTCGAACAGCTTCTTCCCATGAGGAATATGAAGAGAATGAATGTGGTTTGCTACAATGTATGTAGGACCCCCGGATTTTAGCCGAGAGGGTGGAACTAAGGAGGGTAATTCTCTGGAACACTTTCTATGGAAAACGCGATAGAGTAGCGTGAGACTTCCGACATCTTGTCTGTGAAAAAGGGGTTGTAGGGCGGAAAATAATTCATCACCCACAAGGACGCGGATGGGGGAGAATTGTGAAATCTGGGACTAGAAAGTGAACACTGAGCAGCTCATTCCCATATATAGTAACAGTACTCCATTTTTGGGTTGATCTGGCTCTTGTAAATTGAGAGGATAGCAGGGATCAGGTTATCTTCACCCAGTATTAATCCCAAGGGACAACCAAGCAAGCAGATTACTGAACAAGGTGCGTACTATCAGCGAGGTAGGTGATGGGTGTAGGAAGTGAATATTATAAGAATATTGATCATAGATTCACCCGAGATTTAAAGAAGTTAAAATTTGATTAAGTGTGTACACGAGAGGCTTTACTTGTAAAGAATCTGTCTCTATGGAACAGCCTTCTTACCAATGAAATACGTAGAGGACAAGGTTATTTCAGTATCTGTCTATATTTCTGAGATGAGGTATTATGTACACTATTTACATTATTCCGACTATTGTCCTCATCTTTGTCGCCATATTTATTACAACGTTTCGGCCCTTCAGTATTCAGTACACTATTTACATTATCTATTGTCCTCATCTTTGTATATTTTTACAACGTTTCGGCCCTTCAGTATCTGCCTATATGAGATGAGGTATTATGTACACTATTTACATTATTCCGACTATTGTCCTCATCTTTGTCGCCATATTTATTACAACAGTTTCTATATTTCTGAGATGGCCCTTCAGTATCATTTTGCCCTTCAGTATATTTCTGAGATGAGGTATTATGTACACTATTTACATTATTCCGACTATTGTCCTCATCTTTGTCGCCATATTTATTACAACGTTTCGGCCCTTCAGTATCTGCCTATATTTCTGAGATGAGGTATTATGTACACTATTTACATTATTCCGATATTCCGACTATTGTCCTGAGAATCTTTGTCACTATTTATTTATTACTATTGTCCTAAATTACAACATTTCGGCCTTTCAGTATCTGTCTATATTTCTGAGATGACGTATTATGTACACTATTTACATTATTCCGACTATTGTCCTCATCTTTGTCGCCATATTTATTACAACGTTTCAGCCGTTCTTTTATAGATACAAATATTTAAATAAACAGTCTCTTTATAATAAACAGTATTAATGACATTTATCAGCCTGAATCTCCGAGGAATTTTCATCGAAAAAAATGCGTCCTCCGGACGTTTAAACATAAAAAAATATCTTAAAATAATTGTCGGACTTTTTCCCTTTCATTCTTATAATTCAAAAATACGCTCTTAAGTAGGCAGCGGAGGGGGTAGTCAGTGATGAAATTTGACTTGGTTCATCAGGGAATTTCGGGTCTTCCAACATCATATACCCCATCACCAAATCGACCCAATCAGGGGAGATCAACCCCTGATCCCCCCCCTTTTGTCAAACGCTAACAGCTACTCTGGCCTTTTAATGAATTAGACGAAGAAAGACCACATTTTCCGCACACCCGATTGGAAACAACCAATCCGCTGCGCGAACTATCTTTTAAATGGTTCCCAGTGGGGACTGGCTTCTTTTCTTTTTCTAAATTTACAACAAAATTTACCCTAAATTTACCCCTTTTTTTTAAGTATGGTATGGTGTCTTACTCTAAATATTTGCCGTTTTGATTTTATTTGTACTTTTTTCTTTGGGGTGGGGCGAGACTTAAAGTCAACCCTCAATCAAATTTTTATCGTTTATAGCCTGATTCTTAACATTATTACAGGTCAGTTAACTTTAAATGGATGCATTCGCAAAATGAAAATAATTGTCCATAAACATGCCGTATATTTTGACTGCACACACAAAAAAATAAAAAATAAAGTAAAAATAATATAAAAAATAAATAAAATAAATACATAAAACCCCATAATATTCCTTAAAATTGATTTAAAACTATTTACAAATTTTGAGTCGGTTAAAATACACTTGAAATTAAACTACGAAAGAAGTGCGATCTGCCTTACAATACATTTTTATATCCTTTAAAGTAAAATAATATTAAGTTAATAAGTTCTTATATATATATATATATATATATATATATATATATATATATATATATATATATATATATATATATATATATATTTAATCAACATTTTTGGTTATTTATTATTTTGATTAAGGCCTTGTATCCGAGTGCCTGTTAAAGTGGATATTTTCCTTTAGAAATGAACATCAAATTAAGATTAATTAACCCCGAAAACAATTAGAATAATTTGTATTCCCTCTTTCAAAAATCTCCTGTCATTACATATCACCTTGCCCGTTTTGAACGGTCGACATTTTAGTTTTCATTCAAGCGAGCCAAAATCTTAAGCTGTCGTTCAAGACCGTCAGAAGTAATCCAAGAGAACAATTGACAAGCAATATATCGTCGACCTCTGCTATTTATTATCCACAACTCGATTCTATAACCCCATCCGATGCTTAAAAATGTGTAGGGTTGGGCTGATGCATGTTCTAAATATCAGCTGCAAAGACGAGGGCCTTTTTTATTAGGCTTTTAAGGATTTGCTGGCGGGGCTAAATTGGCACTGTCATCCTGCTCCCCGTTTTAGTAATACTGGAGTCCCGTTCAACAACACGGCGAAGGGTCCTTGAGAAAGGCATGTGCACCTGCGCCGTTGTTAATTATTCTCATTAGCAGATACTCGTTGACAAGAGAGTTGGAAACATTGGTGAGTTGTGAGGGACTCGAAATTGTGTGACTCTGTCGAGTTTAATATAATCAATTAATTTCATGTCGTTATTAACTTCATTGCGTGACCCAAGTTTGACGTCTTCTGGTTATCATTCTGTCTTTCTTTCAATATATTGTGTGGAAAAAAAACAAACCTAAGTTTATTTCTCCATATGCATATTTTTTGTCGGGTGTGGGGGTTGCGATCTTACGATTTTAAAATTTGTCTGGTTTGAATTCCTTTTACGATTATGTCTTTCTTCTTCGATTTACTTGTATCTTTCTTTCTTATTCGAATTGTTTAAAAACTAAATTCTTTCTTTCTGTTTATATGGCTTTTAAGTTTCCTTCTTTCTTTCCTTCCGTTTTCATTATTTTTAGGTTTCTTTCTTTCTTTTTCTTTCTTTTTCATTCTTTCTTTTTTTCTTTCTCATTCAATTTCTACTGAAACTATATTCTTTCTTTCTTTATTTCTTTCTGTTTATATTGCTTTTACGTTTCTTTCTTTATTTCTCCCCATTCTTATTACTTTTATCTTTCTTTCTTTCTTTCTTTCTTTCTTTGTTTTATCTTTCTTTCTTTCTTTCTTTCTTTCTTTCTTTCTTTCTTTCTTTCTTATTTGAAGTGAATTTTCGTTTCTTTCTTTGTCGTTCGAACTTTTTAAAGTTTCATTCGTCCATTCCGATCGACTTTTCCTTCTGTCTTTCTTTCTTTCTTTCTTTCTTTCTTTCTTTCTTTCTTTGTGATACGTGGTGTTTTTCATTTCCTTTCTTCATCATTTCTCTTTTCGTTTTCTTTCCTCCCTCACTTCCTTCACTCTTTCTTTCTTTTTTCTTTCTTTCTTTCTTTGTGGTACGTAGTGTTTTTTCTTTGCTTTCCTCATCATTTCTCTTCTCGTTTTCTTCCCACCTTCACTTCCTTCACTCTTTTTTTTCTTTCTAACTTCGCATCCCTTTTTTTTTTTTTTTTTTTTTTTTTTTCTTTCTTTCTTTCTTTCTTTCTTTCTTTCTCCGTTAGTCACATGTTCGGTCTAAGCCTCCTTCTGTAAACCCCATTTTTGTTACTTTAAGTCTCTTCCTCATCTGTGAGGAGATTATCCAGCATTCGCTTCCATACAGGAAGTCTGATATTACATAAATGTTCAGTACTATTTTCTTTGTTTTTAACGAAATTCTCCTGTTTCTTAATACTTCGCTTAGATTTGAGAAGGCATCTTTCGATATACGTAAACGATTTCGATGTCGCATTTTCCACCCTCTGATTAAACCCATCCGGGACATTTCGATATTTATAATTGCTCGATTTAAATGTCTACAATTGGTAATTCGCATACTGGACAGTTCCTTTAGCAATTTTCCTGTTCTGCCATCTATTCACACAAGCTCGCTCGATAGGTTATGTGTTGTTTTCCTTCGTCCATCTTGCCTTTAATTTACCTTGTATGAATTTTTTTTATCCCTCTTTCCCAGTTATGAGCCCTAGAAATTTCATCTATCTCTTTCCGATGTTAAGTAGACCGTATATACTCTCGTATCATGCTACTTTTGAAAACCTAATTTTTAAGCTAATCTTAAGGGGGTCTTATCATAATTTTAAGGGGGTCTTATCATACACAAGATATAAAATAAGCGTATGTACTACTGGCTGTTGATCAAGCTATATATCAATTTACTATAGACAAAAAATACAGCTGTATTTAGAATAGACATGATTTGATACAACTGATGTTTTACTTAACTGTATCCAATAATAATGCATGTAATATTCACATACATTGATCCCTCGCTAATTCGCGGTTCTACTATCACGGATTCACGACTTCGCGGATTTTTAAAATATATATATGGAAAATATATCGCGGGGTTTCTGGAAAATTCTAGAAAAATCGCGATATATGAACAACTAAAATGTTTCATTAAATCCATTAAAATATTAATAATAAATATTATTTCCTGGTCTAGGAACAGCAAAACAAGCGTAAAATAGCAATAGAAAGGGCACTGCCATCTGAAGAGACGTAAAATACAATTATCGGCTGCACAGTAGAAGTCATCATCAGCTTCATCATTTCTACTGCGCAGCAAATTCATCACCATCATCATTCAAATTCTACTTCAACTTCTTTCGTGTTGAATACAGTAACAATCTTTATTTTTTTAAATCTAAAGTCTTATTGCTTAACAGTTGTCCTTGTTATTAATAGAGTACTGTAATGGGTTGGTTGTTAACAGTACAGGGAGAGTTTTAAAAGCCCAAATACACGTTAAATAAAGACTGTAAATATGACGTCCCTACTTCGCGGAAATTCAGTTATCACGGCCGGTCTTGGGACCAATCTACCACGATAAACGAGGGATCACTGTATTAGTATTGTATTATAAAATACAAACGTAGCGAATATGCGTCTTTTCTATTGTTTACGCTTATAAGATGTTTATCTGATTCTCGTTCGGTTGTTTGTGGCTGTACGTGTTTACGCAATGAGTACAGATTTACTAAGAATACCTTTATCATTTCTTTTACATTCTTTAACTAGAAGATGTGATAAAGAGATAGAGGAAAAGATTGTAATTTGGTTCTCAAAAAAGGAACTAGCATGATGAAATCCTTTTTTTATAGGTGAAAATTTTGGGGTCGTACGATACGCGAGATCGCGCGTTACATGGGTAACGGGAAGTGTTTCTGTTTCAATTTTCTGTAAAACTTCCTCGTTGTTCACATGTTCCGTCTATGGCATTCTCAGTTACCTTCTTTAGAACCACGTTTTGTACTTCCAGTCTTCTATTAAAGCAATTCCTAGATAATTATATTGTTGTACTTGTTTGATTTTGGCATCTCTAATTTGTAATTTGCTTCTTGGACTGCCCCTTTTGCTAACAACCATGCATTCTCTCTTGTTCCAATTGAAGTTTAGTCCTTTCTTCTCACTTTTTTAGTAACGTCTCTAGGTGTTGCTTTAGTTCCCTTTTGGTAACTGTTGTCAAAACTGTGTCATCTGCATATCTAATGTCATTATCATGGTGACCGCCAATAATGAATCCTGGTAGGACTTCTAAATCTCTCAGGGTTGCTTCACCGTAACGGCTGATTAAGTTTGGTGAAAAGACATATGTTTTGAATTTTTTCATCGACCCCACGTGATTTTATACCAGAATTTCGTGTCCTCAGAAGTATCACGCGTTTTACGTGAACTGGACATTCCAAGCACATAGTACGAACTCTTGCCATTGTACTACAGTCATTTGTGTCATACGTAGAAAACATCCGAAGCACACTAACTGCATCGTCGATAAACTTGTACACACTGACAAAACAAAAGCAAACAATGCGAATAAGATTATCTATTATCAACATAAAAGGGTCGGCTTGGTTCGGTTTATTTTGTTTTAAGGCATATCAACCTCAATGGGTTATTTAATGCTGTCAAAAATTATTATTGCTGGTAATATTTTGTTTTGTCAAAAATCTGTTTCTGGTAATATATTTCCTTCAAAATTGCTGGTAATAATTTTTTTTTAAAAGGTATTGCTGGTAATAGTTAACTATTTGTCCATAGCTGGGACCCTAACAGGTGCTACCACCCCGGGTCAGGGTGGACCTGGGAACACCAACAATTAAGAGGTGGTTCCACGCTACTCAAAACCTCCTGATCAAAGGCCTTGCTGCTGGACGTAGTTTAACGTCTTACCCAGGACGCGGATGTAGTTTAACGTCTTACTCAGGACGACATAGGCTGATTAAGTCTGGTGAGAAGACATATGTTTTGGATTTTTTCACCAACCCCCACGTGATTTTATACCAGAATTTCATGTCCGCAGAAGTATCACGCGTTTTACGTGAACTGGACATTCCAAGCACATAGTACGAACTCTTTCCGCTGTACTATAACCATATGTGTCATATCTGGAAAACATCCGAAGCAAAATAACTGTATCGTTGATAAACTTGTACACACTAAAATATAATAGCACTGTAAACAAAAGCAGACAACGTGAATAAGACTATCTTTTATCTACATAGGTTTCCCATTCATTTTAGTGCTTGTCTATATAAGACATTTAGCATGTATTACACGTCGTGACTATATAATAGGTTTCTGATTATTATACATCCTATCTATATATTAGCTTTTGACATTCGTTATACCTTCTGTTAATGTAACAGATCCATCAGCATTTACACCTGCCTACATAACAAGTTTGTGGACACTTCGACGTGTTGAAATATTTAGCAAGCTTGTCACCGTAGATGAATTACGACAAAGTATTGAGTTCTATACAAACTACGTATTGCATAGATACGCCCTTGTGCAACATCTAAACTATGCATAATAAAATCCTGTTCATAACAGGTTTGTCATTCGTTATACAATCTGTCAATTTTTTTTTTTTTTGATTTTTTTAATTGAGCGTTATTTTTAATGGATATCAATAGGAAAATAAAATACACTTTAAAAAAAAGGGGCGTCTACTTAAATATGGCTATCCACTAAATACAGAGCTCAATGTTATAAACATCTGTCGGATTAATAAATAAAATTCATTACACTTATATATATATATATATATATATATATATATATATATATATATATATATATATATAGTTAAATAATACATTTTAGATGCATCAAGTGTGGTCTTCAGTGATGCACTGCCCTCATCGCCGAATTCGGTTTTTTTTTGTATCATATCGGCTCCGAAAGCAACCCCGGCTAGATTCAAGACGAGTCAGGCTGCCTCCTTGAAAGCGTTGTGCTACCCACCGCGACATTACAAAAAACGGAAATATCCTTCCGAGCGAGGCAGGACATCGTTCGTTCTTATTGACGTATGTCAGTCAGCGTCATCCAATGAAAACAGGGCTTTTCATGCTCCTCTCCTATATGGTGTTGTCTTTTTACTTCATCCGGTATAGCTTTGATCTACTACTTCCGGAATCCATAACGAGGTGAGCTGCCATCTTTATTTCATAGTCCAATCCAATGTATTACAAATTATCAAATACTAATCCCATAGCAATACTAACTCTTTGACTAAACCTACACGCATATCCCACCCAAATCTATCATATACTAACACTTTCTAAAACGAAATTCGCTATTCTATCAGATCAATCTGTAAATCTACATGCAATATATATATATATATATATATATATATATATATATATATATATAATTATTTATTCAAAATTATATATATATATATATATATATATATATAATTATTTATTCAAAATTATAACATAAATTATTATTATAATTTATTATAATTTTAAAATAAATAATTATATTCGCTCTACTCTGTATTGAGCAATCTTTTAAGAATAGTAATTGTTGGTGATTGGAATTTATTCCGTATACACCAATCATGCACTTGTGTATATATATATATATATATATATATATATATATATATAAGAGAGAAAAATTGTTCAAATTGTGTTACAGCATAATTGTACATCTTACAAAAAGTTCAATATTTTAAGAAAATACTAAACTCTTTGAATTTATTTTTTCCAAGTGTTCACATAAAAGGTTTATCCATCTTGATAACATATCTTCAGAATCACTTAAAAAATCTTTAAGTTATTCACCTAAAAAGCGTGCAGATTAAAAACTGAGCAATGTTGATAGGAAAAAGATCATTCAGGCCTTCAGTAATGGTACCAACATTCATACTCTGGTTTCCATCTTCTATATCCATCCAAGAAACATCAAGAGAATGGTGAATAAGTTTAAAAAAAGAGGGAGCAGCAGAGAAAGAAACTGAATCAGGAGATCACAACAGGGAAAGGAATCATCATTTTAACTTAGATCTAAAGAAATCAATTAAAAAAAATCCAACTCTATTCATAGACATTTGGCACCTGAAAGAGGATTTTCAGCCAGGACAGTTCAAGAAGCAGTTAAAAAAACACTTGAATCCATTAGAAAATTA